ATTTTTTAGTATAGATTTTTTTACACAAATTAAATTGTCAGTATAAATATTTAAATTTATACAAATATTATGATATATTATACTAACATAATTTCATAAGTATAAAACATTAATATATATTTTCAGTGCACAATATTAATATAAATCTTCAAATTCTTTATTAATAATTTAATTATTTTAGTGAAAGTCCATACTAACTTATGTTATCTTAACACTTAGATAATATTTTGTGTTAATGAATGATAATTTTTTTTTAGTAATAAAATCGAAAATAATGTTGAAGCCACACTTTTGATATCATGTTCTCCATGTTATTTTAATCATAACACATTTATAAGAACTGTGGATAATTTATAAAAAATAGTTATAATTTTATAATATTTTTAACTTAAGAAATAATTCATATTTAAGAATATATTAAATAAGAGCGTAATTAAATACATATACCTAAAACGCACCTTAAGTCATGGTTGTGTAAGCTAAATGATATAAAAGTGCTTTTCTCATAGAAATGTGTGTTCTTATATCGTTATTGTTTCTACTCGTACATCTGTGGAATAACCTATATAAATTCAATTTAATATTTTTAAGTACAGTTTACTTTTATTTATTTTATTACAACCTTTGAAGGTTTAGGTAATATTAGAACTCACAATTTAAAAAGATATTTCCAAAGCTGATAGTAGAGAAAAAGTTTTTAGACATTGTTAAAATTTAAAAATTTTATGTATATTTTAAAAAGTGTAGTATTAAATCGTTGCTTGTTCATGTTTCCCTACAATGTTGAAATCATGCTTAAGACATACAGGATATTAGTATGTTAAATTAATAGGATTAGATCAAATTTTATTTATAAAAAATATTATCATTTATTCAATTGAAGTTTTTAGCTAATGAGGCAAAATTATTTTATGATTAGTGTAATTGCAGATGAAAAATTGTTGCTAAAATAAATAGGCAACAAATATTTCGGAAACAACTTGTCAACATCGTTAAAATGGTTGTCTAAACTTTGTAGAATGTTTTTTTTCTTCATTTTTAAGAATAATTTTTTATTGTTACTTAAACAGAAAAATGATGTAGTTAGAAAAATGATTCAGTTTTTATAACATGAAAATTTTCACTAAAATTATCAATTTTTTTTAAAAACACTTTCAATTTATTTTCATTTTTATTTATCTCATTTAAATATGTTTTGAACTTTTACGTTTTTATCTTTTTGGCTTTTTAATATTTTTAAACTTACTAATTTAAATTTTTACTAAATGAAAAACGAAAAGAAGAATTAAATATTGGTTGTGAAAATTGTTAAAAATAGAATTTATAAATAATCAATAATAAATATTATATTAATATATTTTTTTTTTACTTTTCCCTATTTAGGATTGATATAAAATAAAAATATTTAACATCCAAATTTAGAAGGTTAAAAATATGAACAATCAAGAAACACGAATAAAAAATAAATGAAATAATTAAATCAATATTTTAAAAAACTATAATAAAAAAATAGGATTATATAAACTACCTAGACATGTTTACCATTTGGTAACTTTCAAATCAATTTGTATGGCCAACAAGTGTGGGAAATTAGAAGTCATCTGGAGGCAGCTTCGTTTTGGACAAAACTCAAAATAATACAACTTGTCCCGATTACGATTATATTTTATAATTCAAGTTTGTTGTTTGTTTAGCCGGTTCTTGTATTTAGAAATATTGATGCTTTAGGCAAAATTATTAAAATAATATTTCAATTTAGTAATTTATTCAATTTTCATATATTTTTAGCTTATTTAAAAAACAAATTATACACCTACAAATTCAAAACTTTTAATTAATTTAACTAAATAGAAATTGTGGCTTGGTAAACACCCGTTCCATCATGGACAGAAAGCAACCCAACAAACAAGCAGTTCCATTATTTTGTTTATTATCGGGTAACTCTCATGTTGGTTCTTTAAAACATCTTAAGAGGAGCAGTCATAGTTTTTAATTTTTAATTTAAAAAAATTATTATATCATTTATAATGACATATATATTATTAATATATTAAATTTATATTAATATATCGATTTATATCTTTTATTTTAAAAATTATTAAATTTAAATATATTTATTTAAAATATAAATTTCATCGAGCCGTTCAAAAACCCCGTTCCCAAAGTCAATGTCAAAGTCTTTGATAGGGTGATGGAATGGGTTCAATATCAATATCCTAAGTGACCGTGATGGAGAGAGTCAGCCCTTCACTACGAATGGTGGAAATATGGAATGAACGAACCCCACAAGATAAATCAGAGCAAAATATATTGAAAACTTAGCATAATTTATATTGCACTTAGAATCATTGTATTTTCCCTTTTTCCCACTGATATTCTATGAGATAATCTTTTTAACAAGAAGTAGAGTGGGGTTAGATATTCAACGTGTATAATTTTCTTATCAAGAATTCATATAATTATTACTTTTTGAGGCTTTTGTCAATAATTTGATTGTATAATTATTGCGTTATATTATTTTATTTAGAAATTAGAATGATATGAATGAAGTTGCTGTTTTATCATGTGGAATTGCGCCTTGATTGTCAGGCGAATCTTGGACATATCTTAGTCGTAATCCTTGTATATTGACCATGTAATACAGATCTCATATTCCTCTATGTTTAAGAAATCACATACGAAAGATAGATAAATGATTTTATGATATTATTAAAAGATTAAAATGTGGTATTGAATATATGAATAAAACGTTATATTACATTTATTTTTGTTGCCCTTTTAATGATATATACATTTTCACATACATGTGCGTGAAGTGTCTTGATAATGTTTGAAACTAAAAATAAAGTTTAAAACTTGAGGAATTTAATAAGTTCAAATTATACATTTATCTATTTATTTTCAGCCACCAATTTTAGTTTCTTTTAAATAAAGAGCTAATCTTATAATAATATGCAGTTTTAGATGTTTTGTTTTGTTTAACTTATTTGGTAATAAAATCAAGTATTCCTACTGCTATTTTCTAATGAGAAAGCTCTAGGATATCAAGCAATTAGAAAGCACGAGAAAAAAATTTAAAAAAATAAAAGAAGTTAATCATGAATTATATCTGTCATGGAGGATTTTTTTGTGATTGGCCATTATCTCATTCAGAGCTTTGGTCTTGTGCAAAAGCCCTCCATAATTAGATGTATACTTATGTTTCACTCACATTCAAGCCAAAGCTTTAATTTGGCATGTCATTCCCTTCCAAAATATAATGGAAAAGCACCAAAATAGGCAAAGCAACAAAGAAATAAGATTGTTATTGATTGCATGCATAACATAATTTGTTTGTTCATTTTTCTTTATAAAAAAATCGACACATCTTGCTTTGTAAATAATAAATAAACTAGGTCTTATTGTTGGAAAAGAAAAATAGAAGTTATTTGCATCTTCTATCACAAAAAATATCTACATAAAGAAGAGAAAATAGAAGGAAAAGAGCTACATCAATTTTAATACGACCCGTTTTGCCAATTAAGCTCGATTCAATTTGATCTCAAATCAAATTTAAGTCTTTTAAACTCAATTTACTCAAACTCAATGGGTTAACCTTACAAAATTTAAGTATTTTACCCATCTTAACTCCCATTTTTTTTTTACTCTAAATTAAATTTTAACCTTTTTAGTTTGACTTACTAAAGTCTGTTATGTGTCACGGGCTAGCTTAAACGAGCCAGATGTCCATTTTAACACATCTACACACAATTATCCAAGCACCCAACACATTAAAAAGCTACATATCATTGTAGTGAATAAATGTAAAATAAGCGTTATTTATAATATTTTTTATTTTTAAATTTGTCCACAAATGAATAACTCGTTCTATCCCATCACTAACTAGCATAATTTGGCCCAAAATATACAACAAAACTTAGAAGTAAATATATAGAAACCAACTGTTGTTGACCTATGAAACAAAGTTGGTTGGTCCGAGACGATGGTTGATAAAAAAATATTGTAGGTTGAAAAAAGAAAAAAATAAACACCCACTCGTATGTGATATGACTACGTAATAGCCTATCCAGTGAAAAAAGAGAGCCAAATCAACTTTCAAATTGACGTTATAAAACGAGAGGTAGGCCTATATACACATAAGATCATGGTGTGGACAAATTAAGTCAATGCCTTGCTAGTATTACCTGTTTTCCTTTGAATCAAAATAAATTAGGAAATTGGTTCTCATGATACACACTAAAATTTCAATTTGTAGGTGCCTTTGTAACCATAATATAATGATTTCAGAAGATCTTACAGTTGTAATTGTAATTATATCTACCGCATTTGTCCAAAACTTTTAACATGCGTTTAAAAGTATATAATAACAAGTAATAAATAATATTTTATTAAGAATTATAATATTTAATATTATTAATACATTAAATTTTTTTATATTATAGAACTTTCAATAAAATATATTATAAAAAATTAAAATTTATTTTTAAACACGTTATTCATATCAATAAACAAATCAATAAATGCTTTACACTCTGTTGATCAGTAAGTTGTTGGATGTTCAACTGCTGCTGTGCATGTCCTTGTTGTATACATCCTCGCATCATTTAAATTCGTGGAGGTTTCGTACTTAAATTTTAACACTGCATTTTAGCCATGCTATTGCATTTGCAAACGGTGATACTATATCAGTTTCAATATTAATATACACTATTGGTAGTCTATGATTTATTTTACTATTAAAGCTTATGTTACAAATAATTAATCATATTAAAAGACCAACTTAAAATTTATATAACTAACAGTTCACTAATTTTAGGTTTGATTCAGCGATAAATATTGTGGATCACATCGATAACAAATTTTACTTACTAAAGTTTAACATTACTGTACAACGTCAATGATTTAACAATTTGTACATTTTATTGCCCTAAAACTTAATCGATACAGTTCTCTTTCCAAGTTCTTCAAGTTTGTAACCACTTTAATTCGTTCAGGTACACCTAGTGAAACAAGACACGGTCCCTTCTTGAACCTTGCTTTGGTCTTCCTCTCTCAAGAGCTTCCCCTTTCAACTTCTGCATGTTTCTTCCTCTCTCACAATCCTTCTCATCTTCTGCATGGAAATGAAGAAGTGGGGGCGTATGGAGCACCCGATTTCTTCTACAAGGACGCTCTCCGCCTTGGCTACGTGGCTCGTTGCTGCTTCAATATGCTTTACACACAGTAGCAGCACAAGCTATGAAGCTTATAAGCTGTTGCCTTTTCTGTTCTCGACTTGCATTCTTCACCCGGTGCTTGGCTTCAGGTCCCTAGGTTTAAAGTGAGACGACAAAATTATGAGTTATAAAATATGACACGCAAAAGGGAAATCAACATGAACAATTTTTCCAAAGTAGATAAACAGTAATTACTATTAAACAACACACATTAATAAATGTAACTCCAAACAAAATGCATTCTAATAACCCTTGGAGTAGGTATCGTGAAATTTTTGTTCTCAAAAGGCAAAAATGTCTGATTAAGAGTTGATCGCAAGAAGAATTAAAGGATTTCATTTGTCAATTATGACTCGGGTAAAAATTCATTGTCATATAGAATCAACAAAAGAACTCTCATAGTTTATGCTTTACAATTGCAACCTCTCCTCTGCAACATTGCCCTTTATATCAGCCCAAGACATCAAACGTACCCACTATTCCTCAATAGTGCATTGACTCATTGTCTCTAAAGACAAACTCAAAAGCTCTACATATAGACATATTTTATATCTTACATGTAACACCAAAGGTAAATGTACTCATTACATACACGTGTCGGAGGAAAGGACTAGATATTAAAATTACAAGGAAAAATAAAGAATGAAATAATGAAATTTCCTCACCACAACACTACCTTTGTTTTCGGTACCAAAATACGCAACTCAACCCAACCAACATCTCCACAATGGCCTCCTCCACTTTATCCAAGTTCGAGTAATGCAGCGTTTGCAACAAAAGTACGGTGGGCTTCGTGTCAAGCTTCTGCTTCTCCAAGTTCCTCTCCGCTTGCCACCTCACCATGTCATGCGCCACCGGCAACAACCGTTCCAACACCTCCGTCAACACGTCACGCCAACGCGCCGCAACCGCCACGTGCACCTCCTCTCCCTCCTCCAAACCCTCCCATTTCATCCACTCATTCCTCAACTTCGCCTTCAACTTCACCTTCAACCTCTCAGGCAACATCTCATACACCGCCACGCGCATATCGTCCCCAATCCCCGTTCCCACGTGCATACACCGTTCCGTTAACAAAATCAAATTCGCATACCTCAACGAAAGCCCCACACCGCCAACCGTCGAAGCCGGTGCCAGCCGCAAAACCCGGTTGTTACCCGTAAACCCCGATTCCTCTCCATGCAAACGGGTAACCGCGGTTCCGGTGCCCTTCAACACATGACACGCATTCCTCGTGCCCTTCTTCAACGACTCGTCGTTTTGATTAAACAAGCAAAGGTTCGTCATATACAACTCACGGTGCTCAATGCGGCAACAACAGTTCTCCAAATTCGGACGGAAAAGTCTCCTAACAACGACCTTGTTCTTATGATTATTCAAACCAGGGATAACGCCCGTAACGACGGATCCAAAAACGGTACGAACCCTAGCGTAAACGACGCAGATGATCTTCGCCATTAGCCCAACGACCTTATCAAAAGTCTGGTTCCAAAGCGAGACTTGTTTGTAGTACTGAACCTGTCTTCGGAAAAACATGATCTTATCGTCGAAACATTCAACTTTCACCATGAGCCCATGATTGGCTCTAATCGTTCTCCACCGTTGGATCTTCTTCTCGGAAGCTTCCATTTCCGAGAGCGATTCCATTGCCAAGTGGAGGTTCCTTGTGCCGGCTACAAGCTTCTCCATGTCGTCTATTTTCCTCTCGATGTGGCGGGCTCCGAAATCGAACTTGCGGAGATCGGCGACGCCGTGGCTGAGGTCGGCGAAGAGGGCATCAATGCGGGCGAGGTCCTTGTCAGAGCAGTTGCGGGCGAGGCGGGAGACAGCTGCGGCGGTGAGGTTGAGGTCATCGAGATGCTCTGCGCAGGCGAGGTTGAGGAGGAAGCATTCGTCTCGGGAATTGAGGTGGGAAACGGATTTGGATCTGATAACGTGGCGGCGGAGCTTGAGGATTTCGGCGTCGGAGAGGGAGTTGTAGAGGGAGACAAGGCGGCACATGGTTTTGGCGGCGTCGAAGGCGAGGATTCCTAGGGTTTGGGACGGTGGGAGTTCATCGTGAAAGAAGAAGCAGCAAAGGTTTGGCCCTTGATAACGCGCCATGATGGTAAAGGAACCACCACGACCACCGTGAGAAGCCTCTCTCTCGATGCGATGAATATTTTGGTTAAACAAAATTTGTAAATTGTTTTTCTTTTTCTTCCTTTTGTCTTTTCGAAAACTGACTCGTGCTTTTACCATTTTTCCCTTTTTGGTTGGGTGTTGAAGGGAGGGTTGGGACGTGTTGTGTTATGTGTGGAGTGGAGAATATTGCTATGGAATGTTGTAAATGATCTTCAAGAGGACGCATGCATGTGGAGACCGAAGGATTTTGGTGCGTTGCTCATGAGAGTTATGACACCAATATTGATGACTACTAAAGTTTATATTTGGTTTTTTTGTTTAGACAGCTTTAATTTCTTTTAAATTTGGGGGGCGTGTGTTGGCTCTTGAAAATATTGGTTTTAGAGTATTTGGATCGTTGCTGTGGGAATTTTGAAGAGGGGTTAGTGCGTGTTGTGGGATGTATGATAGGGTGGCGGTGAATATTGCAATGGACAGAAAATCATCGAATCCTCTAAGGAAATCCATGTATATTTTTTTAATCAATTTTTATATTTACCTATTCATTTTGTAATTTTTTTTTTATTTTTTTCATCCTTTTTGCTTTCCCTCATTCCAAACCTCTAAAACAGGAAACAAAAAGAATAGAGATAGAAAGAAAAATGAAAAATAAAGAGAAAAGAAGAAAAATAATTAGTGTAATGTAATTCGTAATGTAAAAGGTTTAATAATAAAATTTAATCATCCATATTTAAAAAATTTAAATTATTTTTTCTATTTAAAATTTCATCTTATAATAATAAAAAATTTAATAAAAGTGAACATATTATGGATTTGTATAAATTAATAAAAAAAGATATATAAAAAATATAATAATAATAATAATAAATAACATGTACATAAAATATAATAAAAATAGTTTTTATTCAACTATTTTGCAGATTTTTTGTGTAAATTTATTAAAATAATAATATATCAAATTTTTATTATATTTAAAGAATGAAATTTCATGATAAAAAATTTTAATTTGAATAACTAAAAAATTATGAAGATTAAATCTAATTAAAATTAAATAAACTATGATCACACGTATGCTAAATTTTGATGACCGAAAAAAATATATTATATAAAAAGAGAAAGAGAAAATACTTATACATATATCAAATTTTACGTAATTAAATATTAATAATTGTATTTTCTAAAATTTTATATATATCTTAAAAATATATTATTCATTAAAATAAAGTAATATAGTGAAATACTTATTAATTTTTTCTGTATAAATATTTTTAAAAGAAAATCAGAGTTACATAATTTTTAAAAAATATTTTTAAAAAATTTAAGAAAATGAAAAATCTTATTGAAAGGTTGTAAATAAATATTAAGTGTTAAAATTTTTTAGAAAGTTGATTGAGATAAACCCTTTAAGAATGTTAAAAGAAATTAGAGAATGTATGTTAATTTTTTTAAAAAAATAAGATAGAAAATTTTATCTCATAATTATATAACATATAGATTATAGAGTAATTTATACATTGTTATCACTACTTATAATTGAAAAAATTGAAAAAAAAAAACTTTTTTAGAGGATAGTAAAGAAGATTGAAAGTAAAAGTCTTTTTTTAAAATATTAAAAGACTTGTTTATATATATATATATATATAATGGTAAATTTTTTTTAATGATTATGCAATTTATAAATAATAAAATAATTTATATGTGTAGAGTAATAGTGTGGTTAAACTAGTATTATATTATTATAATTATACAACACACGAATGATGGAATAGTACGTAAACTATTGTGTGAATCAAAACAAGTTTAATTATAATAAAGCTCAAGTGAATTTTCAAGAAAATGTCTATTTAATTTTTAAAAAAATATATTTTTATGGGTTTAAAAATAAACATATGAAAACATTTACATATCTAACTTTGTAATATACAAAAGATAAAAAACAATTTATACGTTATCATCATAATTAATCGTTAGGTGTAGCTTCTCTAATTTATTCCATTTATTGTTTGGTATATTCGTAAAATAGAACGGTTAAAAATTATTTAAAAAATAACATAAAGTAAAATAAAATTAAAGAGTGGAATAAATTTAATGCACCAATTTGAAATTTATTAGTTAAGAAAAAAATCAATTCTATTTATGTGACGTTCAATATAAATTGGAGAATACCAAAATTAAAGTACTAAAATGATTATTTGAATCTAAATAGAGATATGTCCACAATGACCTAAACAACAGATAACCAATGCTCATCTATATTTTATTTTTATTTTGGTGAGTGTCACTAATGGACCACAAATTACCATGTTGGAGAACATATTTGAAGCTACCTTAAATAATTCAACCAAACTAACTTAATATATTTTGAAGCTAAATAACTGAAAATTAGTTTAGGTCTAACTTATTCCAACATTCAAATTTGACTCCTATGTTTCCTTTTCATTATATGTAAACTGATTCATTTCTAAACTGGCTCCGTTATACATAATCTCATGCTCTAGGCACAAAATTGATTAGTCCTATAATTATTATTCAATTTCATTGTTCATGCTCTTTTCTATGCATTAAGTCCAATACTTATTATCAATCTTGAACCTATTTTCAGTTATATTATGATAGACTGCAATATAACCAACTAATAATAATAATAATAATAATAATGATGACATAAAGACAATAATTATTGATGCCTGAGCATGCAACACATTGTTCTTACTTTGTAAAAGTAGTAAAGCTTATATAATGGCCAGGTGAAGAGAATTTTGGAGCAAGAACTATACATACTCAGCAAAATAGGTTCTTGCATGCGAATAACACAAAGAAGCTACGTTTCTTTCTTAGTAGTATGATATGAACACATCCAAGGATTAAGCTAAACATCCATATATGTATACTACAATGGATTTCAAAGGAAGAAAATTAACATGAACTAACACAAAAAGAAAAACTCCTTAATTCCTGGGTCTTGAGGATAAGGAAAATCTAACTCTTAAAGTCGAAGATAAAGGAAAATCACGAAAGAGAAAAAACCTTTTGCATATGAACATGAGATCTCCTAAAATCTTACGCGTCCCCACGTTTACAATCTCACAAATTAGGCCCCGATCTTCTCCCCACTCTAGTTATTTTGTTCTTTCTTCGGTTAGATGGAGAAAAATAAATAAATATAAGATGTTTTTATAGAGAAAAGTCCCCCCAAAAATTAAGGAATCTAAGATTTCAGTATATATATATATATATATATATATATATAAAATAAAAAAAGCTAAAAAAGTAAAAGAAAAAAGAGAGTAAAAAGTCCTTAAAATCAAATTCATGACTAAATTTGCTTAAGGCAATTTTTTAATTATTATTATTTATGTCTTGAATAGTTTTTATTTTTTAATCATTATTATTTATATTTTATTAAATATTACTTATACTTTTTAGCAAAATTAAATAAGAGAAAAATATTAATTTATTTTATCTTTTCTCTTAAATTAAATAATGTCAAAGTTTAATATGCTTTCTTTAATCTATTTTTAAACGATATTAAATTGATAGAATAGAAAAATATCTTTATTTTAAAGAAAATCATTTACAAAAAATTTAAGAAAATATAGCTTTTAAAAAATAGTGAATTTTATAAAAGAAAGTAAGACATTAAATTATTTCCTAAAATTACAAGGGTTTTATTTTTTTTTTCTTATTGTAACAAATACTATTTGATAAGAATATTTTTTAGATACTTTCTTTTAGTTTCATTGTATTCATTTTATAAGAAGTCAAATTCAGTAACTATATTAATTTAGTGGGCTTGATTCCCCACCGACACCTGGTCTTCCAAAAGGAAAGTTGTAAACTTTCTCAGCAAATAAGAAATCATTTTAAGTGATAATACAAACGTACACAAACCAAATATGTGACAAGTGTCTAGAAGCAACAAATTTTCTTAACAGTAAGATAAGTTTTTAAATACAATAGATATTATCTGTAATGTGATATTCTTACGCAAAAACTCTATGAGAACCTAAATTAATTGAAGGAAAAATAATCAAAGAAGAGTCATATTTTAAGGATAGTAGTAAAAATAATAACACCGAAGATTTTATTGACATTACCCTCGAATTAGCATCATTGGGCTTTATTTTGGTGCATTGAAGTAATGGGTTATACACGGTCCTATACGCTCAACGGTCCATCTAACTTTCCCCTATAAGCACTAGGATCTAGAGAGGTTGAAGGGAATTGAGAGGATAATAAGGTAAACTTTGGGAAATTTTCAACTAATATTGAATATAACAAAGGGTATAAGTCAAGCATTGTTAATATAGGAAAATGATAGTTTGAAATCTTAGAAAAGGGTGTTAAATAAATGATGAAAGAGAAGGGGATTGAAAGAAAGGAAAAAAAAAAAAAAAGGTAAATCTTGGGAAAATTTTAAACTAATATTGAATAAACCCATCATAGAAAAAAGTATATATGTCTTATCATTGTTAATATAGAAAAATGATAGTTTGCATCTCAAAATAGGGTATTAAATAAGTTGGGAAATAGAGATATACAACAACTGAGTTTTTAACATATTTTATAGAAAATGTTACATAAATACTTCTTGAGTGTATATATCTAGAGTGAAATATATAAGAAGAGAAGAAAGATGATATAAATGAAGATGAAGACATGAGACGTGGGCTTGAGGAAGATGAGGTGGATCTTATTGAGGAGATAACAGATCAATACCTTGAGGCCCAAAGCGAGAAGAGGCCAAAGAGGAATGCTGGACAACCCAAGTGGATGGGTCCATTCGTGGTGGACGTTCCAAAACGCAAGAGCAGAGGCAAAGATAGGAAAGATTAGTTAATTCTAAATTATTGGGACGTTGCAATTTACTAATTTTTATTTGTTTGTTATATTGTTTTTCTTTTTTCCTTGTAACCAACTATATGTGTGCTACTCACTTTTGGTGTGAGGTCACGAATAAATTGATTCTAAATCTTCTCTCTGATTCTCTGAATTTCTCTCTCCCTCTTTCTTGTTTCTTTTCTGGAGGTTACCTACCCTCGAAGCTAGGTGTATCAATTGGTGCTTTCGTTGAGAGGATGGCTGGTTCCTCTGCTGAATCTGCCACCCTCGACACC